GTTGGAGATCAGTGCATCTATCCTCATGTATGTTACGAGATATTTCTCCGCTCTGGAGGGAATGGCCAACGACATCGGCTTCTGGATGTTCGCAGCTGCACCTATGATCTAGTGCCAACTCTTTCTCACACGTAGAGTACGTGAACAGAGAAGATCGTGAGCTACGCTATTAGCTTTCTTGTTATTCTGGAACAACTTGCTCGAACTACCGCGCCCTTGACGCATGGTGCACCGCGCGCAACGGATGCGGCAATCACTTGGTGGTCGGCAGAACAAGTCGCATGTGGGGGTTCCTGATAGGCATGGATACTTGGTCGTTGGAGGGAGAAAGGAAAGTGTATTCTCCTGGCCCCGCATTAGGCGCACCATATCGGTTGAGCGTACCTCTTCGCTGGTTGATCGGATGCGTGTTCCCCTCTCACTACCAGGCTCGAAGGCAACTGTTTGGGAGTTTTGCTAAAGATAAGATGACCGAAGTAGAAATTCGAGCGAGAAGATCGGTACACGGCAAATACTCCACTCAATGCTACGAGGTTGGTGGATCCCCCTCGCTTAGTGACAAAATTCTTGAAGACTTCCTAGTGGTTAGTGGTTATGAAGGGAATCGTACTAGACAAAATATGGAAGGTTATAATATTAAACAGCAATAACTCGTTTCCAGGTGAAAATCGGCGATTTCGGGCTGTCACGATCGGGAACATCATATCGCATGAAAGCTGCAAAGAAAATGCCGATTAAATGGATGGCTCCAGAAACCATGACTAACTTCACGTTCACTCAGAAGACAGACGTCTATAGTTACGGGGTAACTAAATCCCAATCTATAAGGTCCCAGTCTTCGAAAATCTTGTGTAATGAGCATTTAGGTCCTCATATATGAAATATTCTCTGGTGTCGAGCCGTACGAAGGTGTGACAAATACGCAAACAAAGAAAATGGTAGGGATTCTCAGACTACCGGTTGAAGAGTGTTAAGAGCTTCAAGTTTTCAGATAATGAACGGGACAAGTAAACCAATTCCCTGATGGTACACCATCAATGCTAGTCGAATTTGTGCGAGAAAAGATATGGGATCCAGATCCGGATACGAGGCTCAATATGACTGCTGTATGTCCCCATTACCTTCTTTTTGCTACAGTTTCTCGGAAACTCGATTTCGGTTGGGAGATAATTATTTCGGCAGCGCGTTTACTGAGGCACGTGTTTCTTGTCTGGTTGACTTGGCAGCACCTCCGACTTGATTCACTAGGCCCTCGTACGAGTTACACAAAAGGAGAGGCCTCACTTGGGCGGCGTTCAAAGTTCGCGACGACGCGTGCAGACCCGCTGTAAATGCGCGTCGACGAGCTACAACTGCAGAAGCGCTCCAAACCTACCTACACGCTCGAACGAAGCCATTTGCGGGAATCGACATGTTGCCTAGTCAGGCAGACAGGGCACAGCATTCGATGGGGATTTTGGTCGAGCCTGTACGACCCCCCCCCCTTTTTTTGGGGGTTCGGTACGACCCCCCCTTTTTTTGCCGTTCGGTTTTTTTCGCCTTAAATGAAACTATGAAACGCCCACTATGAAATTCTACTTGTATGAAGGTGCCCATACTAAATGGACGACTTGAAGTCATGACATAATAGAACAATACAGAGATGATTGCAAACAAAAAACGGTACAGCAGATCGTATTATTGAGAAACTCGTATCGATGAACTTTCTTCCCTGCTGTTTTGAAAAGCACGATCACATGGTAATAATAACAATATATCGCGATTTAAAGTTCATGAGCCATTCGTTAACGTCTTGACGTGACTCCCTCCTGCTGGGAGCGGCCATCGCAGCGACCACAGTGTTAACAACGTCTATTCCCAAGATTGAGGACGAGGAAAAGAGAAAGTTAGGCTTGTCTCACTACGTAACAGTTATACAAACCGCCGTAAAAATGCATTACCCCGATTATTGGAGTACGGTAGCAGAAGCGCATGTAATTGCGGCTGTGACAGGAGATTATTCGGCAATTTTAGCCATGGAGCGAGAATTTCCAGCTGAGTTAGGTGTCTTTGAAGGACCATAACTTCCTCAAAAGCGGACCTGTGGGGAAGAGGAGACCGTACTCGTGTAGAGGAAGGTTTGCACTTCCTAAAAGTACTAAAACGTTTATGAACGTCGCAAAAATCACAGAGAAATCTGCCATAGGGATTCGTTGGGGAGTGGTTTCAACCGAACAGGTTTGAATCAATATATTTTTTTTTGTAACTCAACATTTCACAAATCTGAGAATGGTTTCGAGTGTTTGAAGATTTTCTCTTTCTAAAAACCTCTTGAACTGTTTCTGAAGCTCTCGGGATTCATGAGATCTCGCTATGGGGATTTCTTGAGGAACACTCCCAGCTGCGCGAAAAACCCGTTTCCTGTGTACCGTTTCAAGTGAGCGTGTTCGAATAGCCAGGAACGCATGTAGAACGTATCCTGTGGTGGAGCAGGAGCAGGATATGGTTCGTTTAGCGCCGATCACGCCAACTTTGGATGCGCCGCGCACTGAGGGCCGCGCAGAGGTGATGGGATGGTGCAACTTGTGCGTAATGTCTGTTCACGCGAGCAAATATGTCTATAAGGTTCAGGGAGGTCCATGGCGAGCCTGTGCACTTGTTTACAGTGTTTTCCGTTGCGTATGATGGAACATGTCCCTGTCAACGCTGCCAGATTCGTGCTCCGCCAATCGCTGACTCCGATAAAGGAGACCAACTGCTGGAAAACGTCTGATATGAACGATATGGTAGTCCTGTCGCTTGTCGAGAAAAAAACAGGTTGGCTCAGCGCCAAGCGCGACCGCGGACACGCCATATCATTGGCAGCGAACCAGAGACTGTTTGTACTGTTTAGTCACCAACGGACCTACGAGATGATGTCGACTTATTAATATTTGCAGTTATTTCGGATTAGTTTGATGAATGAAAGTTTTGTACTATTTTTTTGCATATCCGAGTTCTCTACAAAGCAAGTTTTGTACAGGACTCAGCACATTGACAATTTGCGCTGCTCGTTACTGGCTGCCGCACTCACTACGACCCCCCCCCTCTCCTGGCGGCCAAATACGACCCCCCTGTTGGGGATTCCCCAACCAACGATGTGCCCTGCAGGCAGACGGGTATGGATCGACGCTGACCGTCTACGATTGCCTTTGCGTCTAGCTCATGGGTGCTGTTACAATCGCTGCGCGTCGACGCGTGTCATCGCGGAGGAACGCAGCCTTAGCCATGTCACTGCAACGCGGATCTCCTCAGCAGACGACAGATAGCTTAAAGCTTACTTGGACAAACTCCTAGCCATCGTTTCCATGCAGGAGGCGGAAGTGGAGGTCATCAATTTGATCCCCCTTGGGAGAAGCTTCGAGCTCATCTCTTTTTCACTATCGTAGAATCATCTAATGATGCAGTACGCCCATCAACGCAGTACGCCCACCTCTATCCTGATTGCTACCGTAGGAGGAGCGAGCGGGTCCGCAACTACAGAATTGTAACTTTCGTCATTTCGTCACTTGAAAGTGCACCGAAATGAGGTTGGAGGGTAGCGATAGTCAGCTGATGTCACGGACTCACCCAAAGCATACAGAAGCAAAAGCACTAGCACGCGCACGCTTAACTATAGCCAACGCGCTACTTGGTGTGCACCCTTGCACCTGGGAGACGTGCAACAGAATCGTCCGGGGCAGCGCCCGCGGCACGCGGCGCGTCGCGCGGCGAATGACTCAGCAGCTCACTTACGTGCATTTGCTAGCCGATAACAGCGTACATCCGCAACATTTAGCAGGTTTCATCAATGATTGAAAATCTAATGATGTTTTTCTTGATAGTAACACACAATTGTTTGGCGGTTCCATAAACGCAACTTCAGGAAATAAACAGATACAAAAGAAATCAGATAAGGCCGTAATT